CCCTTCGCGCATGCCACCGTCTTGTAAACTGACCTTGCTTCCAACCATTCAAGCAAATAATCAAAATACAATACAATGGATTGAAGAACAAACAACCTTTATATGCAAAATCATAACAGTAAGAAATTTTGACCCGTTTACTTACCACCAGCCAAGGAGAAGGTTGCCAGAGGGGGATGCGGAGGAGATCGGCACGGGATCGCTGGTGGCGCGGAGGAGATCGACGTGAGGCGACTCACTGGAGAAGGGGGCGGCAGATGCAGGGGGTGCCGGCGGTAGTGGCACGGTGGAGAAGGGGGTGGCGGTTGATGGGGAGGGGAGAGCCGCGATAGCGGCTAGGTCGATGGCGACAGCGGTGGAGAGGAGAAGGGGGCGGCGGTTGATGGGGAGGAGGACGTGGCGGCGGTGGCGGGAGGAGGCGATGCGACGGAGAGGGCTCATGGCGAGCCGGCAGAGGCGGGTGGAGGCGCGGCGACGTGACGCGACTCACTGGAGAAGGGGACGGGGAAGGAGGACGGTGATGGAGGGGGCTCACAAGGCACCGATAGCGGGGGAGGCGGACGGCGACGAAGGGGGCTCACAAGCCGGCGTGGAGACGTGGGCGGGGGAGAAGGCAGCGAGGGCAGCGAAGAAGGGCTTCGACGGAGGGAGCGGAGAAGGCGACGGCGCTGGAGGGGGAGGAGACGCCAGGACGGGCGACGGAGGCGGCGAGGGAGATGAACGGCGACGGAGTAGAAAGCACCGGAGTGGGACTCATACGAACCGGGGTAGAGATAAGGATTATCTTCTACCAACACCAGAGAGGGCAGGACGAGACATTTATATGCATGCAAACATAGATTGATCTAATAAAGAAACAGCTTCACCATATATTCTGTATCTTTCTCCATGGTGTGATTTTTATACGAAGGGATAGAGTTAAACTTTTTTGCACCTCTGCTTTTATGGGAGGAAAATTAAGAGAACAAATCCGAGGATCACTAATAATCAACCTTGTTTTACAATATACATCGATAAAATCAACAGTATATCATTTTATCAGAAGGTTGAAGTATGAAGTATATTTGATACAATAAGAGGTACACATAACACATATATATACATGAAAAACAAACTACTGGGCATAAGCAGCTAGCTAGCCTGCCCAGCTATACTCTGCTCGATCACCGTCAGTCTGACACCATACAAACCACGATCTGGCATATATCATCGTTCTTGGCAGAAACAAACATTTCTGTTAAATTACTAGGGTGGTTAATTAATTACCTTCGATATACAGTAGACGTTCAAATCAAACAGATCATGTTTCATGGATCGAGCTAGTTAATTAGTACGTACGTAGTTGCCAAATCTCCATCTGCATATATAATGCCGGCCGTCGATCAGAGATCGATCGATCAATTCCGGTTGTTGGGGTCGTTGGAGCCCTTGGATGGCGTCGCGCCACGTACCACGACGTTCAGCTTGTTCCGATGATGGTCGGACGTCGTCGTCGTCGTCTTCGCCGCCGGCGGCGCTGCCAGGAGGAGGCGGCGGGCGGCGCCGTCGTGTTCGCCGGGCACTAACAAATGACGTAATGATTGATCACGGCGAGCCGCCATGGACGCACCGTGATCAGTCACTCCAACGCTGTCGCGGTAGTGGCTGCCTGATGATGTGATGACGATCACGAGAGCAGCTGCAATGACTATGGCCAGCTGCACAACCCTCAGGAGGAAACCCATGTCAATCGTCTAACACCCTGATTACCTTAATTAATTGGGCTGATACATAGTATTGCATATGCATGCGTTTTTGTGTGTGATGGCCATGCTTGTGGGTGGTGGTTGGTATATATAGAGGAGCTTGACATCATGGCAAGAAGTAGTGTTGTGTTTAGATAGGCCCGGCCCTTTGCATCTAATTTAAGATTAAATTAAGAGATCAGCTAGCCACATATACTATCTCCAATACCAAATATAAGTATTTCTATTATTTAAATTATTATGTACATAACAATAACATTTTATTTAAAAAAAAACAGTATAAATGCATATGCTCATAACACGTGCACAAACCCATGTGAACGTACACACTACTATATGAGGATCTTCGAAAGACTAGGCTAGCATATATTAACATTGACAAAGTCAACACGGGTGCTTCGCTGTTGACGGATACATCATCTACCACTAAACTAATAATTAGCCTAAAAAAACCGTGTCAAATCTAGACCTTGAACTCATCTAGTCTAGTTCCACCACAAGAAATATAATCAGTTAAGCTATGCTTGCTTCGTAAAATATAAACATCTTTGAGACTCGAGAATGCAAATACTTTCATCAAATCATGTGCTTATTACGAGGGGAACCTAGCAATTCAAAATTTAGAGGTACTTTTATTTAAAAATGGATCGGAGTACTAGTTGGGAAATAGTAATGGATCGGAGTACTTATATTTAGAAATCACTTTCTGTTTATGAATTTGGGTATTATACATATGTCTAAATTCTTAATCAGTAGTTGTTTGTTTTTTTACTGAGAGAGTAGGGTAGTTAGCCAATAGGATCTTAATACGTCGCTAAAAGATGTCAGTATGCATGCGCATTACTCACTGCATCTTTCGTTGATAAAAAGTTCCAGGCACTTCCCTGCTGTTTCATTGCAACTCAACTGCTATTAACTGCTATTTCCAAATTTCCATACAAAGGGAGGTAATCACTCCATTTTTTGAAAGTTATACTCCCTCGCGATTCAAACCTCAAGTCATTTTAGCCCTTCTTAACTCTTTCCGGATTACAATTAACTAGTTAGGTCAAATCTCAAGTTGTTGTGGAACTGCTGGATTTTTTTTCTTTCCTGCTTTCTCTTGCTAAACTAGTACTCCCTCCGTCCCTAAATATTTGACGCCGTTGATTTTTTAAAACATGTTTGACCATTTGTTTTATTAAAAAAAATTAAGTAATTATTAATTCTTTTCATATCATTTGATTCATTGTTCAATATACTTTTTTATGTATACGTATAGTTTTACATATTTCACAAAAGTTTTTAATAAGACGAACGGTCAAACATATTTAAAAAATTCAACGGTATCAAATATTTAGGGACGGGGGAGTACTTGTCTATTACCTAGATGTGAACTTCAGCAGTATGCATATTGCATTATCACTAATTAATTTCGAAATAAAAGTTAATCAATATTTGTCCGGCCTTAATAACGCTATCTCAAATTAATATATTCTCACGTGACTTAGCTAGACTAGCTAGTTAGCACAATCTATAAGTTAATTAACCTCCTCCGAAAAGATATTCTTTATACAGTATGGGAGGTATTCAGAAGTAAAGGAAAGGAAATTAAAGATCAATTTAGTTTACTTTGGGTTGCTGTCGTCAAGTAAAAGAATCTTATCAACTATATAGCTTTTACAGTGTTGCACGCTATACTAATGAAATTGCTATACTAATACCCATTTTAACTTGATCATTCCTTTTCATTTTCAGGTTTTTAGCTTGATTATTCTTCTTTTCGATGCCCCCTTCTCTTTAGCTCTTTCTTTTGACATCAGCTAGGGCTTGATTACATGCTAATTATTATTCCTCCATCTTTGTCACACACAAGAACAAGTATGCACCGTTCCTTCATTATCGTTAGCAATTGCATTAGTAAACTTGACTGGTATACGATATCAGACGTACTGGCACTTCCAACTAATTAAAAAAATGTCAAAACGCGATCACAAATTTAGAGTTCCCATCGTGGCCACACAGGGAATTTATTCTTTACCCACAAGATGGAATGCAAGCTAAGCTACCCCTTCGACGAAATGTGCTATAAATTTCTTATTCCCTCCTTTCTAAATATAACAACTTTTAACTTTTAACTTTTAAAATTTATCCAAAAATATAACATCTTTACCAATATTTTCTTCGCAACCAATCACAACTCTCCAACATTTAATTTTTCCATCTACTTGCACTACCATCCAATCCTAATCTTTCTCATTTAATTTTACCTACTTTCTTAATAATAATCATGTTTACCCCTAAAAATCCTTATATTCTAGAGCCGAAAATGCTCAGGCCTGGCGACTGGCGGGGGTTCACGTTCCCCTAGCCCCCGGTGCGCACGTTCCCCTAGCCCCACCACGTGTCTCAAAAAAAAAGTTTCACCTAGTGTACTCACAATATTTCACTATGTATAGATCTAATGTTGCAGTGAACGAAACATTCTTTTGCAACAAATCACCGACATATTTTGGAAACCCTTTATTAAGGGAATTCGTTTCATTTTTCGTTCCACCAAAAATGTTTCACCTAGTCTATTCACAATGTTTCACTATGTATAGATCTAATATTATAGTGAACTGAAACATTCTTTCGCTATTTGCTGAAACATTGTTTTTATATAAGGTGAAACAATGCCTGATTTAAACGATCGAAACATTTTCGATCTACTTAGTAAAACAATTCCGATATACTTGATGGAACATCGTACAATACTTAAAACATAAATCAATAATAAGCTAAAAAAAATTTCATCGGAATATATGTGTGGTCTTGTTTTGAAGATTTAATTGCAACAAATTTAATGGTGTAATCGGATCATGATTTGGATAAATAATTTAAGAAAAAAAATAGTTTAAAGTGGTTTTACACGCATACGTGACGCTAACGTCATGCTGACGTCAGCGTCCGATTTTTACACGCCTAGATCGGTAGTCTTCTTCCTTCTAGAGCAGATGTAGATAAACCGTGGCCACAGCTTTAAGAGTGTTTATGGAAGGTTCCATCCTGCAGGAGATTGAAAATAGAGGAAAATTACACGACGCTTCCTGAAAACTTGTAGTACAGCTTAGACTTTAGACTGTTGACATAAGAAAAGTGTTTCCTTTTGGGAAGAAAAAAAAATAAAGAGATGAAACCAAGCGTGTTCCCTTTTTGGAAAAGAAAAATAAAGAGATGAAACCAAGCTTAACAGGGGATATAGGTATCAGAGCTGTAGTCTGATGCGCGACTTGCTTGGTAAATTTCAGCACTTTCCACCCCAAAATCGAGTTTAAAGACAGTCAACCACTTGTTTCCGACGACAAAGGGCAGCATCGGATTACTATATAACTAATCCAGACCACGAGAATAAACATATTCCAAAAGTAAACTGGTTGGGCATACACACGGCAAAAAGAGTAGAAAAAGTAAACTAAGAGCTTAAGGTAGTCGCAGCTGAGGAATCCAGGATTGTCATTATTCGGCAGCAAAAATGTACTACTGTTCATCAACCGACACAAAGCTAAGCTGAGCGTTGCTGATACTTAGTATCCATAGCTTGGGTAGGTGGTGCCACCGTAGCTGCCTCCATTGTGAGGTGCAGGCCCTGCTCCTGAAGCAGCCGATCCGTAGGATGCGCCATATGGTGGTGGGTATGAACCGTAGCTCAGATCAACTGCTGGAGCCGGAGGGTTAGAAGCTGGCGGAGGAGGGCCCTGAGGAGCTTCTGCCATGAAATTCTGCAAGCAACAGATGGTGTTAGCTTAAGAGAAGTAGAAGGATGGAAATTACATCGTAGCAAGGCGTAACGCATGTTCATTTTCCTCTCTTTTGTGATTGCTTCGATCATGTAGTTACAATGCCAATGCTTAATCGTTCTTTCAACAAAATTCATATTTTCCTAAACTACTCCCTACTGCTATAATTCGATGAAGATTAATTTCCTTTATTTTCAAACCAAAAGGGGTAGGCAAGCAACAACCGATATGTGGTTTAGTTTTCTTTCTCATAAACACAGGAGGGCTGCGCTTCATTTCATTAAGAAGAATAAATACATGGGAGATGCCGAAAGGACCGTCCCCCAAAACACTGTCACCACAAAGACGTTCCAGGGTGTTCGATATACCAGATGTGTGGTTTAGTTATTGTGCCAATGATGCCCAAAACACATCACCAAATACATTCAATATGTTTTTGACACTTCACCATGTGTTCGACATTTTCTGATACAGGAGCAACCACCACTATTTTGGAAGCCCATGAAAGGAAGGCAGAAAAGAAGTTCAGTTTGACTTTCTCCCAGGTTAATACAAGGCATTTTGATCTGCAAGTCTTATAGCATGCATCTTCAGTGAACCCACTTTATCGGTCTCCATAACATTTTCCCCTCATCTTATCAGTTCTCCATGGCATTTTCCTTCTTTTCACAAATCATATTGTATATAATCTATATGTACATATTTTCATGGGCTGAGACAAGGGTTAGCTGGCGAGCAGGGACTATATGTTTTTTTTTCTCGAAAACGCAGGAGAACTGCATTTCATTGAAGGGGAAGAGAAAACAAAGTAAAAGTAAAACACAGTAGGAGGACCCGAGCCCTCCCACCGAGACCCACACACCCAAGACCACACCGGGGAGCACTAGCTGCCCAGGTTTGCTATCCCACTAAGGAGCTTTTGAAGGGCTTGCTCCTGCGAAACACCAAAGATTACCCTCATTCTCTGCGCCATTGAAAACACAATCATTGCGATGTTTTCCAAATCTCCCAAGCCACTAAGGTAACCAAAGAGTTAATCCCTTTTTGCACCTCCTTCAGCCGGTCTTTAGTAGCTTGGCTCCACCATCTCAAAAAAGGTTCAGTTTCAGGTTGAGGCGCCACATCAGATAACCCCATCCTCAAGAAGAGTGCCGTCCACACTTGGTGAGAAAAAACACAGGAAATCAAAATGAACATGGATTCCTCACTTTGCTATCCTAAGCAAGGTTCAGGTAGAAGGGAAGCCACGTTTTGGTTATAGGACTCATGCAAGATCCACAATCACAGTTGCATACTACTTTTTTTCTGTCCTCTCGCTTTCCTCTGTAGGAGCCGCAATTCGGCTCCCCACAAAGAGATGGGATTTCTTTGCTGTTGTTGACTAGGTTGCCATTCAAAGCAAGATTTTTATTTTCTTTTTTGCTTTCATCAAGCAGATGTCCTTGCACAGAAAGTCTAGGCCCCTTCTGCAGCTCCAAACATACCCTATATTTTTCATTTGGTCTATCTCTTTGATGGCACCTTTTTCTTAAGGCTTCTAAGTCTCTAAGGCTGTGTTCGTTTCAGAAGGATGGGAACTGATCCCTCCCGCACGGGAAACGGAGCGATTAATTAGCACGTGATTATTTAAGTATTAGCTTTTTTTTTTCAAAAATGGATCAATATGTTTTTTTTAAGCAACTTTCGCATAGAAACTTTTTGCAAAAAATGCACTGTTTAGCAATTTGAAAAGCGTGCGCGCGGAAAACGAGGGGGGAGTTGGGAACCCCTGAAACGAACGCAGCCTAAGGGGATGTTTGGTTGATGCCTAACATTGCCATAACTAAGTTTAGGCTAGTTGTGGCATGGTGGCATAAATGTGGCTTAGAAATAGTTAGCCACAAGTGTGGCATGCTTAGCTCTAAATTTGAGAGCATGACATGTGGGTCCCAAAGTTAAGAAAGTGTGGCATAACACAATTGCGGCAGCAAACCAAACACATGCCTAAAAAACTATGGCATGGCTAAAGTGTGGCGTGGCAAAGTGTGGCAACCAACCAAACAGCCCCTAAGTCTCACTCTCTCTCTCCCTCCCTCTCAGCCCTTACTAATTTGCATATTCACATGCAGTAATATCCATACATGTTTTTCAGATGAAACAAATTATTTGTAGCTATCCAATAGTCAACAACTCAAGAAATGTATAGTGCATTTAGTATAGCTGATATACCATGAGCCATATTTAGATAATAGAATTTGCAGAAATGAAAAAAGGGAAAAAAACAATGAAATGAAGCATGCAGAAGCAGAACATAGGACAATACAAATACAAGTAAGGAACAGAATAGCATGCAAGAAAATATACCTGGACTAGTTGCTGGGCAGTTTGGACTTGGGATGCACTACCAATTATCTCAACTGTCATCTCCCCAGGTGCACCTCTGCTTTCCTGAATAGTTACTGTTGCACCACTGTGCCTACGAATATAGCTAATACTAGCACCAGCTGCTCCAATCACAGCATCAGCATAGGAGAGAGGAATTTGCATGTTGTGTGTAACCTTTTGACGGATGCACATATCAGTAGCTGCCTCGTGAATTAGCATTTTAAAGATAAAAGTACTATCGTGTTTAGCTCAAAGTGCAACAAAAACTGACCTGAGAAGCCACATGTGATGGTGGTTGATTCCCAGAAGCAGAAACACCAGTTGGTGCTTCTCGTCCATAGGCAGAAATACCGTAGTGTGGCTGCTTTTCCATAGAGGGGACATCAGGGGGAGGATAATAATTGTCTTGCGGCCTTGGGGGCATGAACTGTGGATGTCCACCATAACCTGGACCACCAGGAGGGAGGTGGCTTGGAGGAGGGCCCCAAGGTTGAGGTGGGCCCCAAGGCTGAGGAGCTGCCATTGCTTGTTCCCTCTGTGCATTGTGCATTTTCATCTGTAGAGATGAAAATTTAGTGATCAAAGAATGCTTGCAATGAACCCATTTACTGAGAGGTTCACCAGATGCCTGAGAAAAATCTAACTTACTTGCCCTTCAAAAAGAGGAAGAACACTGCGGTCAACAAGAAATTTTCTTAAGTGACTGGCTATCGATTCCAGTGCTTTCTGGACACCAACAGGCTCACCTTGTATCTCCACAACTCTATCATCATTTAGTGCAACAAGAGGCAAAGTCTCTGAAAAGAAAATATGGAATAATATAATAATATTTTTTTATAAGCATAAGACTGATAATTAACACTACCTTTTGCATATTTATCACATATGCACATGCAATATACGTATCAATTAAGAATTCCCCATATGCTATAACAGCATGCCAATACAGATGATCAACCAACAGCAATCAAACTTATAATAATACAACCAAATGTTGTAACAATAACAATTGGAATTGAATAAAACATAATGGTAAAGAGCTCACAATTCTCTATAAAAAAATAATTATATTCAGCTATAAGCAAAACATAGGTCCCAAACCATAGCAACTAACAGAAAAAACAATCATGGCATTCGGTTCACAGATAAAATAAGACTTTTACACTGACATGTGCCAAAGCATCACAAACAATATTATTTCCTCTGATATTAATTAGCATTCAAAAGAACAACAATATTTACAAAGAAAAACCTGAATATGGTTTTCAATATTTCACAGGAAACCAGCTAACAGCTCAGAACATTGCTCTAATTTATTCTTGCTAGACCAAATTCTGCAATGGCATGAAGCAATGGAGATCTAATATGCTTATATGCATATTGAAGAAGCGTGAATTTGTAATTTGGTGTGTCAGTTAAAATTGGCATTAAAAGATGTATCACTGGTTTTCTCTTCATGACAGTCCAAAAAATATGTTCCCTCCCATGCCCTCTATGTAGGAATAGCAAGACAGAGAATATAACCTCAAGGATCCAATGTATGTATTGTATGATATATGAGAAAGAGAAAGAAATATAATGTCTAGAAAAATATGGAAAACCTTACCAACAATACGAACAATGGACTTTGAAGAATCTTGAATGGATTTAATGGTTGCTCCCTGTTTCCCAATAAGGCTGCCAGCTTGGGAAGCTGGTACTAGCAGTCGTGTTGGTCCTACATTACTAATATTTCTTTCAGGTTGACCAGAATCACCATCTGAACCATCAGTTATTCGTTTATAGACTCTAAATAACCCGTCCATAGCTGGAGATATAGGTGCATCTGGCTCATCCTTTGCTGAAATCATTACCTTAAAATGGGAAAGAATATTGTTCACCACATTAATGTAAAAAAGGGGAAAAAAAACTTTACAAAGGCAAAGCTAAATAGTAGATGTACTGGAAAATGGTATGAGAAACAATACGCAGACCAAGATGAACTCAAGAACGCCAGAACAGGTGAAATATGCTATGCTGATACTACTGTACTGAAACATGAGCGATAAAATGTTGTCAGTACCATAACTAGGTTCTTCTAGGTAAACTTCACAATGCCCAATAGCTGAAAGTGTTCTCTGCACATATTTAGGCAAAGAATCTTTCCACATATAAACTAAACAATCAATATTTGTTACGCTAGGATTAAATAAGGACCTAATTGTGGGTGCTGAATATCATCAGATATAATCTCCCACATCAGCTTATTTTATATTAATCCATATTATAGCAGTCAAATTAGCAGTTCAGCCCGCAGCAACAGATCATATCATGCTAAAATGACTACAGAAACAAGAAACACAAAACATTGAATAGCACAATCAACATAGACGGAATTCAAGGAGTATTCACAACCAAGAGACTCGCCATTACTTTTTATTTTAGTCACTATGCTTCTTTACCAAATTCAACATCCCATGGTTATTGTTCACCTTACTATTTTACACTGGTCATATTATATTATTCATCCAATCGTAAAGCCAGATGATGAAAGATTAAATATATTTTTGTTCTTTTTTCAAGTGATTTAAAATTTAATTTCTTCCCTAGTTCATAATTTAAATAGCATGAAAGTACAAAACTTTAGCTAATTCCAGAAGGAATACCAAAAACCTGTATTCATTTTCATGTGTCAGGTTATAAATTAGTATCTAATTCATCATCCAGTCCAATTTTAAATTGCATTTTTTTGTTCTTTTACTTTGTGCCAATGGTGGGATTGTGATTTCCTTTCAGTCAAAAGATCAAATAGGTCGTAGAATTACCAGATAATATGTGGCATGTCTTGAAAAGAATCTTCATCCAATACTCAATACTAGATCATATTTGCAGCACAGAAGCACGAATCCCAACTTTCAAAACCATGTCTGTTCATCGTTTTGGGAATGGTGATTTGATTTGGGGCCTTAGACTGCAGTCACAACCTGTAAACATTAATTTGTGTTACTATTATGAAAGGTAGTCAATTTTGGAGTTTGATCTTCTAGTCTTATTAGTTTTAGAGCCGTTATTATTAATGTGTGCGCAGAGCTTACTTTCCTGCACTTTCTGAGCGTTGTTCAGCTAATATTTGATATCATATTGACTTTACACCTAGATACTAAATGAATGTTTAGAAAGCGAAGAAACTCATAGCTAGGTGTCTTGCAACTTAAAAAGTGCAGTGGAGAATGAATTAATGGTACAGCAGATATATCAGATGTTTGATAAACCATCTGATATTGTGGACCATAAACATCATGGCAACAATGCCATGGAAAATTTTAGCTTTCTTTTTCACAACTATGTTTTATGTGACCAAGACAAATGCACTTGTCGCCATGCATGCTCTGAGATTACTTTTTACTAGTTATATTTGTTTAGCGATTTCCACTAACATTGCATGAAAATATTTTAAGTTGTTTTATTGAAACACTAAATATTTTAAGTTGTACAGGGAAAGAAAATCATTGATCATTCATCGGGACATATATTTTCTCCTTTTGTATTGATGTATTCACAAATGTGAACTTAGCCAATGCTAGGAATGGGATAATAATTATGTTTCACGATTGAAGCTTGATTTTAATCTTATTAACTATAACTAAGATGGCCAGCTTCCCCTAAAGCATTATAAAATCATCCTCAAGGTGCAATAGTAGATTATACAGTTGTTACTCACAGAAGATAAACCAACTGTTCACTATTTTAAGGGTAATATAAGTACATGTAAGTACACCCAAGACCGGAATTCAGCTAAGCTACCTGAAAATTACACAGCCAATCCTCCATTATTTTCACTGGCAATACTAAACTAAATAAATTCTTCATTATTTGCACCTCTGTGTACATTACAGCTGTATGTAATGTAATTTTAATACCATATAAGGCTATGGTAAGTGCATAGTTTAACCACATATCTAATCAGTAACCGCATCTTACAATTCATGCAAGTTCAACAGGACTTCAGTAAAGTATTTTAAATTTCAGCATGGGAACTTCCAGTGCTCAACTAACTATTTTTCTTATGAGTATATCCCCCTGTTACAATGAGCCCTCCAGGTTGCAACAAACAACCACCAAACAGCGCTACAGCCCAACTTTAGATTTGAGCCATCGAGCATGCCAAACTTGTGGCTTTGGCTCCCTAAATATAAAGAGTAAGATGAAGAAATGAGGTGCTTGAATTGCTGCTATGTTGGTAAATCATCCCAATTCTAGATTTATAACATGAAGTCTATAGCTGATTAGTTCCAGATGAGAGCATAAAAATACTAAAAAATTTAGTGTTGCAGTCAACAATTAACGAAACATGACTTCATGCATGGACATGCCTAAACCTAGCGCATAATGACCATGACATCATAAGAAATATGGTGCTACTACTTGAACAAATGAGTATAGTCGATTTTTTATTTCATAGAGAACTTACTGTTCTTTCTGGTACACCAGGCGGGCCATCAAGTATTTTTATGCGAGCTTTAGACTCCTCACACATCTTTTTGATAAACTCCCCTTTGCGGCCAATGATAGCACCTACCTTCTGGGCTGGGATCAGTATACGAAAAACACTCTCTCCTGGCCAACCAGGCCATTTCTTATCAGCCTCTACCGGCAAGCTATCCTGTTGCTTCACTTCCCCATTGTATGCATTATCCGACTCTTCCTGATAAGGGTTTGATGGCTCCTCATTGTACTGATTCTCTGGTTCTTCACTGTACAAACTCACTTGCTGAATGTATGGGTTCCCCTCTTCTACGTTGTCCATGTTATCGGGTTCTTCGTTGTAAGGATGTGACACATCGCTGTAGGGGATCAGTTGTTCTTCATTATAATGATTCTGAGGCATTTCGCCGAGATCATCTGCGTCAAAATTCTCTACCAGTCCATCCATATTTGCTGGTCACGAAAAAAACAAGAATGTCAGACTGAAACCACAAGCTATATCAAATTTATGGAAGATACAAAATTTAAGTTTATCAGGGAGACATGTATGTAATGTATGACAGGCAAAACCCACTGTGGACCTTACTCCTTATTACTTCTGAGGTGTTACACATAGAATTCTATTCTCTTCTACAGTTGTGTACTTCATAGCAGTTTTAATGAGTGGCCAGCCCATGTTTAAACGCTTGAATGGGCAGGTAACCTTGATACCTAGAGGAGATAAGACTTCCTTGAATACTTAGCAGGTATGTATGCTATTATAATGGCATTTACGTTCAATGAGTCATACTACTCCCTCCCTCCGATGATAAATTTAAGGCACATGAACACCCAAGACTTTGAATTTTTTTTAAAAAAAAAAAACATTTGGCTAGGGGGCAGGGGCGGATCCAACCTGGGACAGTTGAACCCCCAAACTTTTGGGGGAACAAACAAACAAAGTGTTACTAGTATTAAGGTTAAGGCTCTGGAATTAAGAGAAGAGCTTCTTCCAGATCTACAAGAGAAGCTAGGGTTTAACGAACGGACGCGAGCAAATTCCAGACAAACGTAGTCCCGGTGGGGTGGGAGAGAGATGAATCAGGAAGAGGATGTGGATGCTCACCTCACCAGGATCCCCTCCCCTCCCCTCCCCTGCTGAGATCGGCGGCGCGACTCGTGTTGGGGAGGCGGAAGGAGCGGAGGAGACGACGAGACGGGAGATCTCTCTGTTTCTTTTACGCCAACGGAAGGAAGGGGAATATACTCGGAGTACCCCACCTTTTATCTCAATTTTTTCACTACCCTATAAAGCCTAGGCTATGTTACACATCTACTACAACTATACTCCCTCCGTTAAAAAAAAAACAAACAAAAACGACCTCATCTAAGTTACTTTTTTTTCCCAAAAGGAGTACTTCTGAAAGTGTTATCCGAATTTGCCTTTAATATCACAACACATCTACTACTACGGCCTTGTTTAGAGAACTAGTCAAGAGTTATTTTAAGAGCTATTTTTAGCATAAGAAAATAGCCCTCCAAAAATATAGCCCTAAGTTGTTTGGATCCAAGGGTTATTTTGAGAGCTATTTAGCCTTTATGTACCTTTCTAGAGAGATAAAGAGAAAAAGACACTTTTTCAGTGAGCCCCACCAAAAATAGCCCCAATTAGCACCCTTTGGGTGGGATAGTTTTTTTGAGTGGGTTATTTTCAAATAGCCCTCAGATAGCTCACCCTTTTGGATCTTTTAGAGCTATTTGGACTATTTGATGGAGGGCTAAAAAATATTTCTTGGATCCAAACAAGGCCTACATCTATATACTTACTGATATACGAGGTCACAAGATTCTCACACGTGAACACTTTTATTTTGTATATGGCATTGTACGGAAAAGCTATCTCGCGCGTACGCGCCGGCGACGCGCAAGCGGAGCGGCGGAGGGTTTCACTTTGTTTTACTTCTTTTTCCGGCGCGTACGCAGAGGTGGTTTGACTTTTTTTTTAATTATTTTCGAAAACACGTATTGACGTAATGACGATAACTAATCTGTTAGTTTTAGATAATAACAATAATTAACATAAGAATTTTTTTAAGTAACATATTAAAAAAAATCTATAGGTGGTGTCAAATTTTGAAAACTTTCAACTCAGATTTGAATTTGAATTTTTGAAGTCAAATTTTAAAAACTTTCAATTTTACATCTCAAATTTTAAAAACTTTCAACTCAAATTTGAAACTTTCAACCCATATTTGAAAACTTTAAACTCAAATCTTGAAACTTTCAACCCAAAAATTGAAAAATTTCAACCCATATTTGAAAACTTTCAAACCAGATTTGAAAACTTTTAACTCACATCTAAAAACTTTCAACTCAAAAATTGAAAACTTTCAACTCAAAATTTAAAACTTTCAACCCTGATTTAAAAACTTTCAACTCAAAATTTGAAACTTTCAAGTCAAGATTTGAAAACTTTCAATTCAAAAATTTTTAAAAACACGTGTGCTAGCAACTAACAAAAATCGGAAAAGAAAACGAAAAAAGGAAATAGCGTGAGAGGTGCGCTAAAATAGGAAACATATGGCAAAAAACCGAATCGATTAGCTAACTCGCGCGAAAAAAAAACGCTAGAAAAAAGAGAGAGAAAATCGGGAAAAGGGAAAGAAACGGTGGCAGGGTGACAGCTGGTGCGCGCGTGACTTCCGTTGTTGGCGCGCGCGCCAGATAGCAATCCCCGGCTTTGTATGCCTAAATAATTAGTTATGTCTATAAACTTGTAATTTTTGCTTTTACTTTTATCTCTTATAATATATGTTGCAATGCACACACCTTTTAGCTGGTAGTTCTTTATAATGATTGGTGACCCACATAGCAATAGTACTTAGAGAAAAAAAAATGCGAGGAACTTGGTAGGAAATTGTGTCGACCGCAAACTTCTCATGCCAATGGCAACCACTAGTTGCTGCTCCAAGCACTGCCACCACACCTCTTTCTCCTCTTCACTTTCGCATGCGCAGCCGCACACTCTAACCACCAAAATGTCTCTTCTCTTTCCTTGTTGTCATGCACGCTATTGTCATGGTCGCCGTTGAGACCGAGCTGTCGCCTTACAGGGACTTGGGGAGGCAGGAGCCGACCAGGCAGAGAGCAGAGATGCTAGATCCGAGATCCTCCTTGCTAGATCTAGCGATTCTCCAAAGAGAAAGTTAGTGTGCGAAGTAGTGGCAGAGTCACTGGACTTGGAGGTGGAGCGATGGTAGAGCCACCAAACTAAACTATTTGTATTTAATGCATTCTTTATTAGTTACTCCCTCCATCCCAAAATATAAGGCTCAACCACTCATAACACAAAGACCAAGAAAACATTTAATCACCTTCTTGTTGGATCACCTTAAGGCACGCAAGCAATGTGATTGGGAGATTTGATGTATAGGATTTAAAACAAATCAATTATATTGGACCAAGAGGTGCTAGTTAATATATGCATGCATGCACGCCTTATATTATGAGACATGAGAGAAAAGTGGTTGTGCCTTATATTTTGGCATAGAGGGAGTAGTGTTTATTATTTTTTAATATATGATAAAATGGTAAAATTGAAATTATTGATATGATGTAGATGAGATAGGGCTCATTAAGGAGCTTTAGCGAGACAAAATAGCTTTTTAGCTCATTAGCGTTAACGAGCGGAGGTGATAAATCTAGCAGTTTATTTGAATAGATCGAGGTGTTGGGCGATCAAATTTTTGCTAGCTTTACCGTATTGTCAGGAGAGGTAATGACCTAGGTAAAGAGTTGATCAAAATGCCACATTAGGTCATTTGCATTGTCACTTGGTTCGAATTCTTTCATTCATATTTCCTTCTCCTTGAGGCCGGTCTGACCGTGGGCTAAATGCCGGTCTGACTGACATGTCTAGGCCGGTCTGACCGGGTGGCCGATGAGCCGAGGTGTTGGCCCCGGCTTGGCGATCCAAAGCCGACACCGGTCTGACCAAGCTGCTGGTGGTCTGACCGGCCGACCCATGACGGTCTGACCGGCTAGCCGTCACCTATGCATTAAATGCACTATAATGACTAGTTTTCTAAACGTTACATGAGAGGTAGGTCTGACCGACCACCTCATGGCAGTCCGATCGGCAAGTATCCGAGGATGGAGATTTCACCCCCAACGGCTAGTTTTTGTGGGTGGTGGTACAAATACTCCCCTACCAGCAGCAAGAGAACTCTCTTGGCACTTGCTTCACTTGCATACACTCCTTGCATCCACTCTCACAATCCTTGAGCATTTGTTCATCCTTGTTGGTATTGGAGAGTTGTTTGAGCCAAGACAAGTGCATTATTTCATTGTTTGACCTAGTCTGACACTTGATCATCTCCGAGCTGGGTTGATACTTGTTATTCTTGGAGGTTGTTGCCTCCTAGACGGTTTGGAGGAGTTGCCCGGTGATCTCTCTGAAAAGATTGTAGAGGAGGCCTAGTGTTGGTTGTGAGTGGTTTGGAGTTCACCACCTTCGGAGTGAAGGAAGAACTACCCTAGTGATCGAGGCTTGGGTAGTCCATTTCGCATGCGTTTGGTTAAAAGGTTGGAATGGGTCGGGTTGGGTTGAACCCATTTTTGTGTGTGTTTGGTTTCGAGGCCGACTCCCACCATGCCCACCCCTTGACGAAGGAGTTCGGTGGCTTCATGGCTTGAGCGGTGAAGTTGGGTTTGTCTCAACGGGGACGTAGGAAACCGATGAGTTTCCGAACCTCGGGTGGAAAATTTCTTGTCTCTTGTCTCATTTACTTATTGCATTTACTTTTGTGCAATTTTCTACCATAGAAACATACTTAAGCCCTTCTCACCCTATGATTGCAAAATATAATCTAGTTGCTTGTTAGTTGTATCCCTCACCTGCCTAGCGACTTAGGTTACTTTTAATTAGGTGCTATGTATTTTTAGTATCGCCTATTCACACCCGCCCCCCAAGTTAAGTAACAACCATAAAAAATAATCAGTTAAACCATTTATTTATTTCATTCAAGACATTTCTTACCTAAACATGGCAGGAGAACTTCGAGAGAAGGTAAGAAAACTAGGAGATTAGTATAGCCCACACACATGAGCAGAAAAGTTGCTCACATTAATCGATAATATACTAATATTATTAAATTTGTTCTTTATCATAATACAGTGTGAAACTAAAACTTTAACCATATATTCTTCCGTTGTTCCATTTTTTTTCTTTTTTTCTCGTTCTTCTTTATTTTCGATAATAATATTCCTAGAGCCAACACTATTACTTCCACATGAATACTACCAACTAGCTCATGTGTGTATGCTCCGTAATATATATTATCTATGCCTTCACATGAGTAAAATAATTATTATATTTGTTAATAATATTGTATTTATTTTTAAAAACTGGAAAGATATTTTTTGCTAAACATAATCTAGAATGCTATAAAGATTAATAATATTGAAACTATATATAGACATATATATATATATATATTGGATAAATTATAAATTGACACTTGTTATGAATCCAATTATCATAGTGCACTATATATATAGTATATTGTTGAAGTGACTTGTGACTTTCACTATTTACTATTTACTAGTTACATACCAATGCATTACAACGGGATCTAGAGATAAAAATATGATTTAGTTTATTTCTAGTCCAGTTATTACTGACGTGTTGAGTTTTTACATTTCTTAGAGGTATTTTAGGTATATTTTTTTTGGCCAATTTGCCTAGTACCATCACAAAAATCACGGAGTTGGAAAATATCATCGTATGTGTCATTGACATGTGGGTCCGGGCCCCACATGTCATTCTCACGTATGATGGTATTTTGCAACTCACATATCTTTGCGATGGTATTTCCCAAATTTTCCCTTTTTTAAAGAGAGGAATTAGTTTTTTTTAATGAAAATTAGAATTTTCCACTAAAGGTTAAACGGGCCACTTAAGACAATATGCCACCTAAGGCTAAATGGGCCAGATCATTCGATACCGATAGACGTCGATACAACTTCATGACTAGCAATGTGGTGGAGATTTTCAACAATGTTTTGAGAAGCATGAAAAAACTGTCCGTGACAACTATTGTGATGTATATATTTTTTAAGTACAATATTGGGTTCGTTGATAAACATAAGTTGGCTACCGCGGAAATCTAGAAAAATTAGGGAAATCCGACAGGAGCAAAAAATGAACTTTGGCTCAACAAACAACGTGTTTTAAGTTTTCTCCGTTCGATTTTTCTCCATGAAGTATGTAAATATGGAGA